TAGGGATTGGGCGTGCCCTCTGCCACCCGGGAGCAGGCCTAAGCCAGCAGGTCGTTATCTCCCGAGGGGTCCCAGACTGCGAGAGGGCACAGGCCGGGCTGGGGGACCCCCCTCCCCCCACCCAAGTGCACAAATTTTTGTGCACCGGGCCTCTAGTCCTATATAATAAAGAGCTAATATGCTAATTAGACCGAACAGCAGAATGACTGTTTTTGGAAGGTCCAGAAGACTTTCCAAATGAAGCTGGGGCTGTGAGGGCCTACCCTTGCACGAATTTCGTGCATTGGGCCTCTAGTCTAAGATAAAAGGAACACAAACCCTTGATAAATCCTGTTTTTTATGTTTATCATATTTTTGCATCTAAGAGGGTATAAAGATGAGGTTAATATAGTATTACTACTGATTAGATTATTTCAAGCTATTTCAATTTCATTTCTTTTACTGTTACTATTTGCATTTTTGATAAAAGCTTTTTTAGATGCATGTAAATGTGTTCACATTGAATTGAATACATGAATTCACATGAATTGAAAATGATAAGTATATGTTGAAAACCATAGTCAATATACTTTGACTTAAGCATACTTTGTAACAACAAATTGTGTCTTGTTTTATGTGCATTAAAATGTAATTAATGTGGGCTTAAGAAATTCTCAATTGTAACAGATACTTTAGGACCTCATTAGCCAGCAGCAAATCAGAAATAGTCTTACTTTAATCAGAAATAGTGTATTTTTTTCATATGGAAGTAAGACTCATACATATCTCTCAGAATAGAACAAAAGTCTTTAGGTCTTTAATCTGTATCATGTTGATGGCGAATGTGAACATATAAGAAAACTGGCTTTCTGTTTCTTGGCTCTTGAATATCTTGACTTGGAGGAGAAAAAAACGTGAACAAAATTTTCAGATCTCCCATAGATTATCCAAGAAGGAATTCCAGAATGCAGAGAGGGCCTGTCTCCCGCAGGCAGGCCAGTTTCATTCGGCTTGTGACCATCAAGATGCATGATTGCTCTGACTTCATTTCTGTGCCCTCTGCATGGAATTCTGAAAGGCAATGGGAGAGAAGGCACAAAACCCTGAGGAATGTGTGTTCTTGTGTAGTATCTAGATCAGACAGTTGTAGGAAGTGCCAGATATCAGACCAGAAAGGATTCTTGTGGGAGAGTGTTTATAGCTCAGTTTCATAAGCCCATCAATATTTCACCACATCTGTTCCTTAATTTTATAATTTACTAGAGGCCCTGTGCACAGATTTGTGCACTGGTGGGTCGGCATGGCCTGCAGGGATAGGGCCGAAACTGATAGTCCAATGCCACCTGCCACTCCTGCCTGCCCCTCCCACTCATCCTGGCCCCACTGGCCTGCCGCAGGCTCACACCCAGTCAGTCCTGATTAGAAGAGGCTCGAGACGCCCTAGCAGCGCTCACCAGCCATGAGCCCTGAGTCTGGCGCCCGTCCCAATGGTGGGGGGATCTCGGGACGTGATCAACCCTCTGGGCAGGTGGTGGGAAGCCCTTGCAGCCTGGGATCTGGATCCATCCTGCTGATGTTCGCGCTGGTTGTCAGGAGCCACCTGGCAGCCACTTTTATATCATTTCTTCCTTGCGGAGCATCTAGGGAGGGAAAGCGGCTGCGGTGCCTGAGGCCGACTTCCAGGAGGCCAGTGGCACTGTCGGGATCGTGCAGGTGGCGCTGGTCTGTTTTCTGGAGATTGGACCTGCAGGACTACTGAGGGAGTGAGTGGCTGCCGCTGCCAGGCTGGTGGGCCACCGGGATGGGTTGGTCAGCTGAGCGGAGCTCCCGCTATGGAGAGCACTGACCACCAGGGGGCAGCTCCTGCATTGAGCGTCTACCTCCTGGTGGTCAGTGCGCGTCATAGCAACCGGTTGTTCAGTCATTCGGTCGCTTAGGCTTTTATATATATAGATATTGCATATGCATTAGTAATGTCCAGTACTTGAAGATAAAAATAATAATTTAGGAAAACCATCATTTCTCTAAATAACTGTTACTATTTTAGGAGCATTCAAGAGTCTCTGGAAAATACAGATTTTCTTTTTTTTGGAATCAGCATGTCTGAGACAGTTGAGCACATCCTCCTATCTGTATATAGTCTTCTACTTTCTCTAGCCATTTCTTCACTATTTGAATACAGTTTTCACATTTAGTCTTTTTTTTATCATTACCCTCATTTTATTTATTTATTTTTAATTTCTTTATTGAATAAGGTATTACATATGTG